CTGTGACAGGACAACTGGAAAAAAGGGAAAAAGAATACACTCCAAAGTATATTCGCCTGCGATAAATCTGTAAATAAAGTGCACCCAATTTGTGTGAGGGAAATCAGTGTAATGATATTTAATAATAGAAATATATATATATATATATATATTATTAGTTCCATCGATGTATTGAGGGATATATAGAGGGTTTGGTATAATTATAGGGTGCCTTCCTTGTATGGGTTTGGATCTCTTTCTCATTATTATCGCCTGCGTTTTTGCTGTTGACTTGACTTCGCGTGCTGTATGGTTTAGAAATGAAGCTCAGATAATCATTAAAAAAAATAGTGGTGCCTTATGAGACACTGTATTTTGCTTCACAGGCTGTTTTCTATTAATTTTAAAAAGTCCTTAGTGATTTATTGTATATGTATTCTAGCTTTTCTTCAATTTCTTGATTATCTTATGAGTTCATTCTACCTTCAGGTTTGCATCTATTGTTGTTTTCTCAATGTTTATATTCAAAATTTCTTTCCTTTATATTATAGAAAACCATTCCTTTTACACACTGTTATCCTAATTGACAATATTTGCATATCAAAATTAAACATGATAACGACTAAAATGCTTTGGTATCAAGGTTTTCCTTATGATATTCTTCTCTCTTCCTTATCATTCATGTTTTACCTTTTATGTTTTTTTGATACATACTTGTCCACATACCCATGCACCTATTCGAGTGATTCGATACCAAAGTTGAATCCCCCCCCCAAAATAAACCAATAAACGTTATTCGTACGAAGGTTTTCGTCGCCTTTATATTTTAGTTCCATAAAATATCTAATGTCTGTTAGCTTGGATGCCTTGGTAAAGAAACCGGCAGTATGCTATACGATTTTTAAGGAAGCATATAAGGGCACGCTGGAAGCCGCAGATGCGGGCTTCAATGTAGTTTTTTCTGAATGCACACTTCGCAATGACAGTAGTGATCTGGGAAAATCTGATATGCTGACATTCTTGAGAGGCGACACAGTGGTATATTTGTGTTTCGATGCCACTATTGGGTCTTTATAGCACGCATAAAGAACACTAATATTATCATTATTGCGTTAACAAGGAGTGATATTTATCACTTTCCAATCTAATTGAATCGTTCATGGATTTTCATAACTTGATGTTTAGCTTTAATAGCATTCTTCCGTTATAATTATTTCCTTTCTATTGTTTCAGAAGTTCCTTTTATCCGGTTACATTGACTATGGTTCAACACCTACTCTAAAAATATGTACGACGCCTCTTAGTTTTAACCCTTGAAGTCTAAATCGGTATACTATTTATTATATCTACACTTCCAAAGAAGGAAAATGCGTATCTTCGTTCACATTCGTGATAAGATCATCGCTTTGCAGTGTGGTGACGGCACCCAAGAGGTTTCATGGCTTGGTAACGCTGCTATGGTGCACTATGACAGCAGCTTTAGCAAGCGATATAGAGTACCAGTGCCCATTCGCAAAGAGGGTGGTATTGCTTGTGACCCCGAGGCACTCATTTATGAAGTGTTGGACGATAATCAACACGTCTTTGCGGAGTTTGAAGATTCTGAGATGTAAAAAGTATGGCAGAAGCACTCCATGGGTAAGGAAGGTCGTATCAAGTAGAATTTGGGGATGAATAATTTTGGAAAAATCCCTTTATGTAAAGGACTTGTGTTCCCTTATTCAACGTGGTAACAGCTGCAACTCCCTTGATTTTCATAAATACCTAGAGCATTTTCAAAATATATGCGTTATTTCCAACTTTTACGTTGATTATCTTTTCTTCACCATACATTTATAACTCAACCTTTAACAAAGCATTATCAAAAATCGTGAGGGTTTGGTCATAGAATGAATAACATTATGCGAGCTATTGTAAAGGGTGAGGGGGACTGGTCTGAGGTCCCACGCGGCGTGCGCGAGGCCATCCTACACACCCTTTCTCATGCAAAGGATGCGGCTACGGCGCATTCGATACGTGATGGACCACGCTTGTCGCGCTCCACGAGTAGCCAGCGATCCCAACAGGTGGTCCTGCCTACCCTTTCGGAGCACGACGTTCAGTGCAGTATTGACACCTTTGAGGACGGTTTGTGGGTTCGTGATCAGGCGGTGCGCAGCTACGCGCGGTTTCACAACAGCGTCGAGGTCCTTTATAGAGCCGCGCGTGGGCAACTGCGCTCACTGTGGCGGACAGCAATGCAGCTTCGGCCTGACTATCTCGAGAAGGTACGAATGCAGCTTGGTCTCTCTTTATCTGACAGCATTCCGGAAGGTGTGCCGATTCCACAACACTACGCTGTGGAAGTGGATCATGAGGAAATGATATTAGAGTCGATGTTTCAAGACCTGCAGCAGCTGCGGGAGGAGTCGGTGAAGTTTGCTGCTAATTGGTTGACCGATCATGAAAAAATAGCCATGGGGGCTAATCCTGCTTATTTGCAAGCGGAAGCCATAGATGGGGAGACTCAGAGACGATCGGAAAACCGGCAAAAGGAATCTTTTCGGAACCTTATAGTAAAATCAGAAACAAGAAGACCGCACTACGTGTCTGGCTCACCGACAAGCATTGATCCCTGTCAAAAAAATTCCTGTATTGATGAAGGTCTTACAATGGGCGACCCAAAACTGATAGCGCTATTGCAGCAGTATGCAGAGCGGTTGACAGAAATTCATGAAAAGGGTGGCAAAGGATCCTCGCAGGATATCGGTAAACACAAGCATTAGCCATAGCTCTGAATAGGTTGATCACTAGAAATAGGACCTTGCTATTTATTCAAGTAACGGTGGAAAGGTTTCTTAGGGACATGGCGTTTTTTAATAATGTTACTTGTGCTCTATTTTACCTACACACAGATTTATATATACCTTTCATTTTTTTTTGTACAATTTTTAGAGTGTGATGGTTCTTTTCCTTAACTTTCTTTGCACACAATGGGAAATTTGACATGAAAAACATGATTTGGTCGCAAGCACGTGACTCTGTATGTAAGGGTGACTCCACTCCTTTTTTCCTTTTCTTTATCTTTGGATTACCTCAGAAAACTAGAACAGGCTACCTGATTCGGATATTTAGATGGTGTCGCAAAATAGATTTATACAAGATTGATATATTATTATTATTATTATTATTATCAGTGTGTTCTGTGGAGTTCGATGACTTTTTATGAAGATCCGGATCACCCATCTTGCGATGTGTCTAGAGCGACTCTACTACCACTACGTAGCCGAGGCCTGCCAAAGGACATCAGTAATGTGATAAAGTCCCTATTGTGTTTTCAGGAGAATGACTTCTTTATGGTTCCTAGATCTTCTTCAATGACTAAATTGGGGACATCACCGCCCAAGAGAGGCAGCCCATACTCACGAGCCGTAAACGTGCCGTCACCTCGGCGCTCCGCTTTGCAGTTCAAACAAAGAGTCCACGTTAACAGCACCTCTGGTAGTCCGCCTTCATCGCGCTCGCCGAGTCGTCTGCAGCGGAAATGCACGCTTCCGGTATCGGCCGATGGCCTCGCAAATGCCACAGAGCGGACGCGCTATCGGAATGAAGTGACGCGAAAGCTGTTGAGTATGTACGCTGAAATATTACAGCTAAACCAGAGCTCTGATCGCATGTGCCAGCAATTGACAGAAGCGATGCGCACCGATCCACGTTACGCAAAAGAGAAAGGTGGGACGGTGCGTTCAGCCAGCAAGCCCACCGATCAGCAGGAGAAGGCGCTCAGTGGTTTCGTGTCCACCTTGGCCACTTTACATGAAGCTTCTGTAGAGCTCGTCGCTGCCTATCTCACTCCGGAGGAAAAACGGTTTCTAGGCCTGAATTCACATCTATTCCAGACACAACAGGCAAAGGCCTCCACATACCAGTATATAAGCCACTTTGCAACCGGGAAACGCGACCCTAAGAAGCGATCCAAGCCGAACCCAACGGAAGCCCGTGAGGAGGCTCAGCCCTCGGGGGGTTCTGCTTCACCGGTACCGGAGGTCCAAAAGGTGAGCAGCGCGGTGTTGGATTTCTTAGCGGCCTCGCGGCTCCTGAAGTGCCGCAACCACAATGATAAACGATCGGCGGATTTACCGACGGATAGGCGACCCCAGCAGCTTAGTAACCCTTCCTTAAGGGCATATGACGATCAGCCCTCCCGACCCGCAGCCAGTGCCCTTACAACTCCTCAGTCACGACTGACTCTTCCGCAGGAGCCGGTCGCGACGGCGCCTGGAGGCGCGATTCTGCCCGAGTCGACCCCTGAGCGCACCAACAGGGCCTCGGGTTCCGATATATCGCTGACATCGGAGCGGCATATCGCCTCGGAGACTTCATTGGCTCCCCCCAACGCGGTGCCACTGGGGGGAAGCCCGGCACTAATACCGCCCACAGAGGCGTCATCCCATAAGAACGAACCCCCATCCTTTAAAATAATTAATGGCAAGCGTCATGTGCTTACAGGGAAGATGGTGCCATTATCAGGGAACGACATTCTCACGCATCACATGGCCCCTCCGGTTGAGCTGGTAGACCAGAAGAACCTCCATGCATCCACTTTACCCAAAATCCGACCTGAATTTAAACATTTGCAAATCGACTCTGACAGTGATAGCAGTACATCCGGATCTCATTAAGATACATGCTTTTGAGTTTCATTATTCCTTGGGGTTGACACCGATTTACTTCTTGTCGTTTATTGCTTTAATGTGTCTAATCTCTAATGTGACGTTATTTATTTCCCACAGGGTTTTATTTATTTAAAGAGTTTCTTCTCTCCATTTAGCATTCCCTATTATCCATTGCATCGCTTGTTCATGAAGTGGTATTCTCATCTTTTGCTGAGACGGCTTTCGGCCGGTAAGTGTGGATATTCACCTAGTCTTCGTCAAAGTTTCCTCCGCCATGCTTTGCTTCCGATGCTCAGGGCAGATCCGAATTGGGCTTTGTCGATTTGTTGTAAGGCGACCGCCACATTACCCATCGGGCTCGGCGGGGAGATAGACGACGGGGAAGAAACCCACCCCGATTTTCAGCCTCGGGCAGTGATAAGCAGCATCGGCAAGGAGGAAATCGAGATGATTAAAAAGGACGTCGAAGACACAATCAAGGAGGATGACATAGTTGTATTCATTAAAGGCGTCCCAGAGGCGCCTGTGTGTTCGTTTTCAAAGCGCATGATTGACGTCCTAGAGGCGTTAGGTGTAGAGTACACTTCGTTTGATGTACTAGTACATCCTGTCTTACGTTCTTATGTGAAAGAGATAAGCGAGTGGCCGACCATCCCGCAATTGTTTATTAAGGGCGAGTTTGCTGGTGGAGTTGATATTATTATAAAAATGGCCGAACAGGGTGATTTGCAAATGCTACTCGACGAAAAGGGCATTAAACATAGGAACCAGATCAAATAATATCTTGTCTATGGTGTATTGTTCTATTTTTACATATCGTATATTCTGATGGGGTCTTGTATCACTCAATGGTATGCGAAAAGGGTGTAAAAGAAGAGGTAACATGAAATTGTGGTTGGTGTGTCTGATCCTTGTCAGCCCTTCCAGGGGTGCGGCATTTATGTAGATCATAGTTGATTTAATTTCTTCATTTATTTTTTTTCC